AATCAATCAATCAATAAACAAGACAGAGAAATTAAATTCCAACATTTTGGCACTAACACAGAAGAGGGAGCATTCTTATGGTATGTTCCTGAGGGGCAGTGAGGATAAACCAGTTTTTAAGTTACCATATCAAAACAGTCCTCAACCTGAGTTAAGGATCACGGATGCTGATTGATTGATTGATTGATTGATTGATTGAAATTTGGACTGGATTTTATCTTCCTTCCTGTTCCGAAAGAGAGCCAATGTGATTGCAGAGCTCAAGCTCCTGGATTGGGGATGGATTTGCTTCATGCTCTCGGTCAGAACAATATATATTCCTTTGCTTTCAGCCAGACTTACTTCCAGGACCATGAAATAAATCATTGGTGCGGATTCCACAGAGGGAGCTTCTCCCACAATCTGGATTAATTTAATCAATCCAAGTCTAATCCACTTACTTCCCAGTAGACATTATCTTCAAAGCAGTTTTCATCCGTAGGGTCCCCAAAGAAAGGCAGTTTCAAAATGCCACCTTCGGGAAAGAAAAATCAAATACTAAAATTCACTTACAGTGCATTTAAATTTTAAATTTTCTTTTTTCTTTTCAACTGAGAAAGCACTCTGTACTACGGAACAAATCACAAAAAGGGGGAAAAATATGTTGTGGAAAACATCCACCAAGATACACACAACAATTCACGAGAAGTGAAAAAAAAATTACTCTTAAGTTTGATGATTGAAATTGGAAAGAGCTGCCCAATGGGGAACATGAAAGAAATACTTCCTATCATCCCAAGAAAACTGCAGGAATTTCCCATGTCAGTCTACAATAGTTGAGCTCAGAGGGAAGATGATTTTACTTTTCTATTTTATTTTTTAACTGAGGCTTAACAAGCCAGAAGATGGCAGCAGGGAGACCTAAACACTGGGTTGAGTCATAGAAAATTAGAGGTTCATGAATAGGCAGAGATTTCAGCTCTTGCTGGCACAAGAAAAACAGCTGATCTGCATGAGGATTTTTCACTTAGAACATGGAATAATAGGGTTGGGAGGGACCTTGGAGGTCTTCTAGCCCAACCCCTGCTCAAGCAGGAGACTCTACACCAGGAGTCGGCAATCTTAAACACTCAAAGAGCCACAAAGGTTCTAACTGGAAGCCCACCCCCACCCCCGCACGTTTAATTCTGGAGGCAACCGGAACTCCAGTTTCCCACCACAGAGTCTCCTCCTAGCACAGCATCCTTTTTCTTCTGCTGACTGGAACTCCAGTTCCCCCACCATAGAGTCTCCTCCAGGCACAGTGTCCTTTTTCTTCTGCTGACTGGAACTCCAGTTCCCCCACCATAGAGTCTCCTCCAGGCACAGTGTCCTTTTTCTTCTGCTGACTGGAACTCCAGTTCCCCCACCATAGAGTCTCCTCCAGGCACAGTGTCCTTTTTCTTCTGCTGACTGGAACTCCAGTTCCCCCACCATAGAGTCTCCTCCAGGCACAGTGTCCTTTTTCTTCTGCTGACTGGAACTCCAGTTCCCCCACCATAGAGTCTCCTCCAGGCACAGTGTCCTTTTTCTTCTGCTGACTGGAACTCC